TCATGCCAGGCCTTCTTGCCAGACATCAGTGCCCAACCTCTTGTGCTCTTATTGCTGAATAAGCACAAATCCCCACATAACTTTATGTGGGATAACTTTACTTGTGGCTGCTATACATGTAAACGCTAAACATATTTCAGTTCAGGAAAAGTCTGTAGTACAGAACTATAGATATCTGTAGAGATCTGTAGTGCAGAACTGTATATAGTCGAAAATGTCATCATTTGACCACTTGAAAGGTTTTCCCAGGAGCTTCATACATATAAGAGGTTCATAATATGATCTGAGTTAATTAAGGTTCACCTTCCTTCTCAGATTCGGATATCCTGTGCAGGGTAGTCATTTGAGGTTAAAGTTTTGAGGGAATAATTAAACGTCCTTAAAACACCATTATTACTGTAAGTAAAACCATAAAGAGTCCTGAAACAATTCTTTGTTCCATGCATACATACTCACCGAGAGTCTCCGTGACAATGATCTTATCCTTGCACATGCGCTGGCAGGTGTGGTTGTCTGCAAATTTCCCCGTGTTGAAGAGGGTGCACTCGATGCATTCCCTGGAGAAAAATGTTAATTATTATCCACTAACTGGTATTCACTACAAAGCTGGTATGATGAGTATGATTATAAAACCAGTTCATAAAATCCAGTCCAATACCACTAATCCAGGCCATACATCTATGCATGCATAGGGAGATTCCCTCAAAGGACCACATCAGGCCATAGAAGGTCCAGTGAAGGAAAAAGCTTCAAGGAGCTTCAAGGAGCAAAAGTCATCTAAGGAATGACAACTGTGTACACATTGCTCTTGGTAAAATGTGGTGATCAAGAGGAGTCAAAGCACCTTTCAGTTGGGTTTAGAAACCATGCTGAGCATAAAATAAACTATACAAACTAAGCACTAACTGCTGAGTGGCTCCAGTAAACCTTAGGATATAAATGTTCAGCTATACAGTCAGCTTCAGAATTATTAGTACCCTTGAAGACAATAAGCAAAAACTACTGTATAAACATTACACACAATAATTAAAATTAATTATTTTTTATTTTAAAATGAAAATTAATACCCAAACTACTTTCCTCAACTTCCTTTTTTTATATAATAGAATTTTCTCTCAAAAGTACATGTGAAATAATGATCAACACCCCTTGAACTGTTAAAATATACAGTTGCAAGAAAAAGTTTGTGAATCTGATCGTGGTCTGATCTTCATCTACGTCACAATTATAGACAAACGCAATCTGACTAAACTAATAACACTCAAACAGTGGTACTTTTCACGTTTTTATTAAACACATTGAGTAATCATTCACAGTGCAGGCTGGAAAAAGTAAGTGAACCCTTGAATTCAGTAACTTGTATTTTCTCCTTTAGCAGCAACGACCTCCAGCAAACATTTCCTATAGCTATTTATAAGACTGGCACAACAAAGAGGAGGAAATTTGGTCCATTCCTTCCAAACAAACAGTTTCAGTTCATCAATATTTTTGGGCTGTCTTGATTGACCAGCTCTCTTCCGTTCATGCCACAGCATCTCAATTAGGTTGAGGTCAGGACTCCAATTTGGCCATTCCAAAACACAACTTTTCTTCTTTTTCAGCCATTTTTAGTTGATTTACTTGTGCTTTGGGTCATTGTGTTGTTGGATCACCCAATCTCTCTTAAGCTTGAGGTCATGGAGTATTGCCATGACATTCTCCAGTAACATGTCTTGATGCAGTTTTGAATTCATTATTCCCTCAGTGGTTGCAAGGTGTCCAGGCCCTGAGGCAGCAAAGCCGCTCCAAACCATGATGCTCCCTGCACCATGCTTCACAGTTGGGATGAGGTTTTGGTGTTGGTGTTCAGTGCCCTTTTTCCTCCAAACATAGCATTGCGCATTTTTGCCAAAAAAAAAAAGTTCAACTTTTGTCTCATCTGTCCACAGAGCATCTTCCTAGAAGCATTGTGGAATATCCAGTGATCTTTGGCAAACTTGAGATGTGCCACATTGTTTTTTTGGATAGCAGTGGTTTCCTTCATGGTGTCCTTCCATTAACACCATTCTTCTTCAGTGTTTTTCTGATAGTGGACACATGAACAAAGACTTTCACACTTTGTAGATTTTTCTGCAGGTCTTTTGCTGTTACCCTTGGATTATTTTTCACCTCTTTCAGGATTCCCCATTGTGCTCTTGGTGGGATCTTTGCAGGACGCCCATTCCTAGGAAAAGCAGCAACCTAAATTTCCTCCATTTGTAGACATTCTGTCTTGTCGTGGATTGATGAACACCACCCAGGTCTTTAGGAATTCTTTTGTAGTCTTTTCCGTCTTTGTGCATCTCTATAATGTGTCTTCTAAGGTCCTATGAAAGTTGATGGGATCAGGGCAGGGTTCACACTAATCAATTGTTCTTGAGAAGAATAGATTTGCCAGTAACCACACTTTGTGTGGGCAAAGCACTTGTACCACCCACACTTCCAATTTCATCTCCTTAATTCAAACACCTCAGTTGTTAGCACAGATGTTCACTTACTTTCTACACCCTGCACTGCAAATGATTACTCAATATACTTGAAAAAGACCTGAAAACTACTACTGTACGTATGTTATTAGTTTAGTCAAATTGTGTTTATAATTGTGACTTAGATAAAGATCATACCAAATTTTACAAGTAATCAAAAAACCCTGGTAATTCCAAATGATTCACAAACATTTTCTCACAACTGTACAAACAAATTGCCGTCCTTCAAAAATGATGTCAGTGTCCAGAAATTCTGGTCTTGCCGTAGAAAACATATGAGCTGGCACACATGCAATGGCTCTTTGTCATTTTAACACCAAACAGATGGTTGTTGTCCTGCACATGTCAGGCAGTGGATATAAAATGTCATTTAGTACAATCAGGATTCAAAAGTCTGGAACAGTTAAAAATGCGAAATGGAAAGAGGAAACACACTGCCTAAATCCACAGTTAGGAGGATGTGAGGAAAGCAAAGAAGAGCCCAATGAATAGAAGACTTTGGAGGAGTGTCCAATATTATTAATTTGCACATGTGACTGAATACCAGGTCTATGACGTACCTCTTCGCAGCACAGGCGTCACCGCAGGTGGGGCATTTCTCACACAAGTCCCCGAATGCCCCCGGCTCAGTGCACTGGCAGCGGCCACACACACAGCTGCCCCGTCCGCTACACATTCTGCCATCATCGGAAACACACCCAGTTGTTTCTATTGAGCAGTTACAGTTGTCTCCAACATAGCCAGCATGACACTTACACTCCCCACAGTGACAATCACCATGACCTACAGAGAGAGAGAGAGAGACAGGAAGAGAGTGGCACAAAGATAAGTGCAGTGACGCGAACAATTAATTTCTAAAGTTAGTGCTAAAAAGTAACAAAATGCAATGCTCAAAATTAATGGTGCCTTGTTAAACCAGGCAAGGACAGGATTCCAAGACAGTTGTTGGATGGTTAAAAAATATAATCTGTAACAATAAACAAAAGTATTGGTATTCAGGGTTATAACCCTTGCAGGTCACTGCATTTGCACAAACAAGAACTTTTTAATTTTCTTCATTTTATACTAGCCATGACAAAGGAACCAAATCTACTTGAGCTACTTTCATGAAACTCAGAAATACTTTGTGAAAGAGAAACCTCTGCCACATTCCTGATCAGCACATAACAACTGGAGCAATTACACACAAGTTCCTCTTACAGGAAAGCCTTGTGTGTCCACAACAAAAGTATAAGTGTACAGTCTGTACCGTGAACAGTACACAGTACAACTGAACGGCATATTGATGTGTGATTGTGAAAGAAGCTTGAGGTCATTAAAGCCTGATGAGGCAGCAGAAATAGGGGTAGTGAAAATCATTATTTACACAGATTAGGCCTGGAACCTAAATAGCAGGTCCAATGGTACAGAAGAGGACATGGGAAAAAAAACTTTAAATATCAGAAAACAGTCAGATGAGATTAAAACTGAGGCAATATTCCATGTTGTTGAGCAATGAATATAAAAAAAAAATGCATAAAACAAGAGCCTCAGCTTCTGGAAGCTCAGTACAGCTGCAATACAACACCAACAATGCAATATGTACAGACATTTCACCAACTGTATAATACCTCAGTCTCTTTAAGAACCACCCTTGTAAATAACACAAAATCATGTAAATAATTTTTTTATCAGCCTAAATTTTGTTACAATCTGAATATAATAAATGCAGGTGAACATTTAACTAAGATAAGAGACATAAATGGACTGCTTTATCAAACATAAAGAGTGCAATGGAAAGCATCCATCTTGGCACTGCATCTAATTCCACACCACTGATGAATAACCAGAACTGGATGGATGTACAACAGTACACCAGGTTGCTGTCTGAAACATCATCTGTTGAACTCTCTGTGCTCTGAATGGCAAAGGAAGCATGGGCTCGATCAGCTCATCATTAGCAACAGAAGGATTTGTAGTTTTCAGGGAGATACTGGAGATTTATGCCTTGTACAGCATGATCTGGTTTTAAGTGGTCCATGAATTGTTTAAAAATGCAAACCCAAAGAAAATTGCTCATTTGCTTAATTATGGAAGCTTTCATTGTACATATAATTGCCGAAAAGCAACTAGTTTACAAGAAAAAATGGAATTGAGTTAATTATGCAGAAAATATCAATATATCAAGCATATCAAAAATAAAATGTAACAAACACAATAATACATAAACAAATATCAGTGCTACTGTTTACTTTGGGCTGAACAGTATATAATTTGTTAATCATTATTGCAATGTTGGCTTTTGCAATACTGACCACTCTGAGGGCTACTGAGTTATTTTTACTTCAGCTGTTCCCGCTAGGAATCGGCATGGCGGATCACTGATCTGCATATTTGATTTGGCAAAGTTTTTAACACCGGATGCACTTCCTGATATAACCCTCCTCCATTTTTATCTGGGCTTGGGACCGGCACTGGGAGTGCACCGTCTTGTGCAACCCCGTTGGCTGGGGTCAGTTCCCTGGCCGGGAATCCAACCCAGGCCGTAGCAGTGAGAGCGCCAGGGCCTAACCACTAGTCCTCCAGGGACCCTATCTGACGGCTACTGATATCAGCGCTTAACAGGTTTTATGTGGGTGTGCTGATAAATTGATGTCAATTTTAAAAAAATAAAAAGGCCAGCCTCTATCTGTTACACATCACAGGTTGACTTTTTTGTTTTAATTCAAATTATTACTACAGGCCATTATTATGGCTTGGCGATGTAGCAATAATGTTTCTATTATCATGCAGGTCTAAATGTGATTCCTAATCTCCACTGGCAACGTGTCGGTGTGGGTTTCCTCAAAGTATTTTACACCCACCTCCCTCAAACATGCTGCTGGTTAGATTGGCTGCCCATATTTGTGCGTGCATACGTGATGTCTTATAATGCACTGGACTCTGATTCAGGGTGTATTCCTAATCTGTGCCCAGGATAAGCTCAGGATCCTCTGTGACCCTGACCAGGATAATGTGCTTACTGAAGATGAATAAATTTATAACACTATGAGAATCTGAATCTGTGTACATTCTGATCTATGATAACCCGATGATTCTGTTATGATAACCCCAAATTCAGACCAGATGAGTCAAGTAAGTAAGTGTCACATCAAGGGTCACATCAAAGGTCACGTCAAGGGTCACGTTAAAACCTCAGTCCCTCCACACTTTATTTAATCTAGTATTTTAACACCACTTATAAGTAAGTGAAATTAAGTGAATCTAAATAATGTGAATACAGTAAATAAAGTGAATTTACATTTCGTAGCTTTTTTTTGCTCTAAGAGAGATAATGTTTAATATTAATAATTAAAGAAACAGGCCTAGTTTGAGAGCTATCAGAAACCCTCAACAACCACCACAAGCCAAGCCAAACACACTCCTGTTTAGTAATTAATCACACGCACCTTTTGCTCATTACGTTAATTGAGTCCTTTATAAATATCCCCCAGTTTGTAACTCACATTGCTATAAAGATTGTATAATGTAATGTAAGAACACAATGAGGAAATCTGTTCCAGGCTCCACCATAGTAGGTGCACAACATTTTTGCCAAACGTAAAGAGGGCACTAATACAACGGACTGGATGTAAAGCACCCAAAAAAACAACAACAAGAAGCACTCCCATGGCTCATTTGCTCTGGAGCAAATGAGCCATTTTGTCCTCATTTTGTCCAAAGGAATCTGCCATTTGTGATTACAAAACCTAAAAGTATGATACGAGACAGTGAGTCAGTGAACAACCTGTATATTTGTGTTTATTTTGTTTTCTCATGTTGGTGGAAAATGCGTATTATAGCGTGAAAACACCTCCGTATGAAACTACAGGTTGCACAATCATGGCATCTTTGTAGATTATCATTTTAAATAAAGTACCCAGTGTATAAAAAGTGTGGTTTTGTAGTTTCAAAGGGATTTCACGGCGTTTACAGACAAAAGAAATAGAAGGGCAGTGTTGCATGCAAGCTGGAATCTGACGCTTCATTGACGTGCCTCTAACGCAGTGCATGACATGACGCTTTATGCAATGCTTGACACAATGCGCCCAGTGTGAATCGGCCTTACGGCGCCTTAGAATATAACAGTGCATACAACATCATATGTTACGATGCTCAATCACAAACTGTTAGAAAAGTCACGATAAGTAGTGGCGTGCTTTCTTCTCACTTGCTTGTTTAGATTCCTTTAAAAAAAAAAAAAAAAAGTAAATAAAAATATCAGCTAGTAAGCCCGCATGTATGTGTCTGTATATGCGTTTGAGCAAAACTCTTATTAGAAAGCAGATGAAGGAAATAGAACCTGAAACAGAAAAACATTCACAGTAATACAGTTTGCAGGTTTTAGCATGCATGTTACTGCAAAGGATCAATCCCAGTAAAGGAAACGCACATCCTATTTAAATACTGTCTGTGCATGATACGAGGGTAACGTCCTACAAACCGTCTGTCCCAGAATTCTGCACCCTGACTGATACAGGTCACTGCGTAATTATGTACCATGTACTGCTGCACTAACAGAAAATGCTGCTCAATGCAGCAAAGCCTCAGGCAAATAAACTAGCCCAGTTTTAGCACATACATGGTCAAATGTCACTGAACTCACTCATGGCGGAATAAAGCACAAACACCACCATTTAGCTAGTGAAATTATAGTAGACCTTCAGACTCAGGCTGATTTGAGGTGTAAAGTTTCACAGTGAAGATGGAGTGTCGATTTCCGAAGGGTTGTGTTTAAAGGAACACACCTGAAGACCTGAACCACCACTTACTAGGTGTAACATAATGCAAACAAAACAAATCGAGAAAAAGAGAGAAAAATAGAGAAAAATGATTACAAATTTCCAGGAACCCTTTTAATGAAATCGTTTAATACCAAAAATTGTTGGTCTAAAAAAAACAGTTTATGGCTAAAACACTAAAAATATGTATACCGTTTAAATGGCTAAAACACTTCATACTATGGTAGGAGAGTGTTTGCATGTTGGAAAAGAGTTTTCATTTTTCTGTGTATTTGAACCAAAGAAATCTAAAAAGCTATGAACTTGTTTATGGTGGAATGTGATGAATAAAAGCAAAACGAGCCATTACTTGTAATGAGCCCACTGGTGAATGCTGTGAGTGTCAGAATATCTCTCACTGGAAAAGTACACAACCCTTGCCCTCTTTGAGGACCATTTTTTCCTTAAAATAAACCCAAACTTTCCTCCGAAGGTTATTTCTGAAATCTGGAAGCCCCACAATGTTTCCAGTTATTTCCTGCATGACATTTGAGTAGGAGTACTTGTTCCAGTTCCACATATATAGCTACCTTCTGCAACAGAGCTACTCTCACTGCTATTGCAAATGCATTGTTTTTTTTAAATTTCTAGGATAACAGAAGCTTTAAAAACACCAGTAACAGATTATCTAGTTAAATTAGTTACATTAAACTAATTAAAGTTAGTATAGAAGATGGTGATAACTGATTTAATACTAGCCAAAAAAGTTAAATCTGCTTTCATAAGATCCATAAGGAGTACAGGGACTTTGTTAATGACAGGTTTGAAATTCTAGTGATTAACTGTCTGACCTTGTGAACACTTATATCCTTCCTGTTGGAGTGACCCTCTGGCCCCTGACAGTAAGCAGATAAACTGCAGTCTGTGGATCTGGCAGGGGGAGGGAACACAAGATCCAGCTAATCACAAAGACCGGCAGCTCCTCTAAAATGGGATGCTCTATGTTTTACTGTAACTCAAGCCTTTCTGACAGAGTGATCTAAAAAAACGAAAGAAGCCACAGTTACAGTGCGCAAGTGATGAGGGGTACTTGGCTCTTACCGACATCAAACAGAATGCGTCAGTGGACTCATTGAGCGTTTCTTCTTTACGTTCATAATAACATGGCCAGAATGACACACTGACACGTTTGTGGTTAACATAAGGCAAAAACAACACCATTCCAAGGAATACTGACATCCTACTTGTGTGTGAAGGTACTCATTTACAAACATTTTTAGCAACCCTTTACATAAAAGTGCTGCTAAAAATAAGCAACAGTATTATTACACCAAAACAACAAAGCACTTAATGGTAGAGTGCTAAGGTTTTTGGTTACAAATGGAGGAAGAGGAAGATGGAGACAAGGAAGAAGAATTATTTAGATTCACAGGTTAAAAAAAAAGTACTGTGTAATATGATGCTCTTGTGCTGGTGCCCTGACAGACCTGTACAAATAATTTGCAGTCAGTCTTGGGTGTCAGGTAAGAACTGGTGGGAAATTTGTATGAATGTCACCTTGGATCAGTGGCGGCTGGTGGTTTTAAACTAAAACAGGGGAAGCAGTGGTGGGGCAGTGGGGTAGCAGTGGTTAAAGGCTCTGGGTTACTGATCAGAAGGTCAGTGGTTCAAGCTCCAGCACCGCCAAGCTGCCACTGTTGGGCTCTTGAGCAAGGCCCTTAACCCTCTCTGCTTCAGGGGCACTGTGTCATGGCTGACTCTGCGCTCTGACCCTTCCAAACTTCCAAAAAAGTTTGGATATGCAAAGACAGAATTCCACTGTACTGTAATTTATATGTGGCAAATAAAGGCTTCTTCTAAATAGGGGAAGCACAGGTGTCTGTTACTGAAGGAAAAAAAAAAACCAGAAACAAAAGCAAATAATCAAACATAACTTTATACTTACAATTTATTTGAAATATTTACCACTTACAAAGATAAAATAACAAGCTATACTAGTTGCATAAAACTATTATGCATTAGTCTAATGACCAGTACTGCAGCTCTGAGCCCTCTGTCTGACTGGTGCTGACATATTTAAGCTTGGGAAGTCAGTCATGTTCATTACCGTTTCAGTGATTGGCAGTTGATTCTGAGGTTCTAACCCCACGGGGCTCATGCCTTAGATCAAATCACAGCCATGCTGTTATTCAGTATAACTGCATGATGGCGAATGTGATATTGCTTTTATACAACAGTTCTATAAACATGAAATTAATATCGAGTAAGTAATGGCCAAATGTTCAGTTTTCTCCACTAGTGGAAATAGATCTTGAAGCCACACTCACTTTTTAGCCTGTCGGCTAGTGGGCCAGCTAGCTCACACTGATTTGTATACTCCCATTAAAGGTACTTCCAGTAAAATTGGCTTCCCTTCTTCCTTTTCATCTGACGAGCTTTCATATTTTAAGTCAAAAGTTATATTCCTTCGTTTGCCATGTCCTCTGATGATGTCACCAACACTACTGTAGTAACGGTTTCAAACTAGGAAGAGGAATTTTATGTGGCAAACACACAGACGAGTGGAGTGATACACAAAGGGAAACATCCCTGTGCAGATATAGTAAATATAAGCAATCTTGGAACGCAGCATGACCAATCAAATTAGTGGACTGGAACTAACTGTTGTATAATGTCAGTTTTAATCTACTGAATTCGCATCCAGTCAGTGGAAGACACTGACTAGATGCGAATTCAGTTGGATTTTGTAGTGTTGATTGGTGGCTGTGCCACATAATCCCACAAGATTTCTACTGGATTGAGGTCTGGTAATTTCCCAGTTTAGTCAAA